AAAGCCTGTAATTGTTTTACATGATGGTAGGATTGCTGGTGTCCATTTTTCTGTCTCATGAACATGCAAGGTTTCAGGTACATCTTGCTACTTCTACTTACACTTAGGTCACACTACACATATATATATACACCCCTCTGGATTTTCTTACTAGTTCTTGTTCTTGGTTATTTCCTCTTATCTCCATGGGGAAGTGGAACAGAACTCTTCCTCTATAAGCTATGCGTGTTGTAAGAGGCGACTAAAATGCCAGGAGCAAGGGGGCTAGTAACCCCTTCTCCTGTATAAATTACTAAATTTAAAAAGAGAAACTTTCGTTTTTCTTTTTGGGCCACCCTGCCTTGGTGAGATACGGCCGGTTTGTTAAAAAAAAAAATATTAATGTGCCTACTACATATACAGAACATTAAATTCCCCTTGACAGTTACAACAGAATGCACAATCACAATACAAGGCATAAGGCACTCTTCAACATCCCTCGTGTCAGTCTCATGCTATGCACATAAAGGGCCCGAAGATCCAGAACCGGTAAAGGATCCCCTGACTACTTATAAATTTAGGACTTTGCTAAAAAAATCATCTTATCCCTCAATATCAAGCAAAACATCTGCTAATTAGTTATATTATGTGACCTCTAGACTTTAAACTTCTGCCAATCCATGAAATATTACTGCCTGAACCCAACCTTCCTCTTAACAAACATTAGTAAGCCACCACTCAAATACAACAAAGTTTCATTTAGACTCCATGACGAGGCCTCAATAAGGAATTTCACAGCAGACCTAGAGACTGCTGACTGGCCTACAGAATTCTCCAATGCCAAGGGTATTGACAATTGGACAGACATTTTTCTTAACAAAATACTTAGACTATACAACAAACATTGTCCAATAAAAACGAAACAGATCACAAATAAACGGCTTGGTTGTCCATGGCTAACCAGCAGCATTCTGAAATCCATTGATAAGAAACACCAATATGAAAAGCAATATAGACAGGGCTTAATACACAAAGATATTCTTAAACAATATTCAACAGTTCTCACCAAATTAATAAAGAAAGCCAAACACCTGTACTACTCCAGCAGATTCACTGACACAAGAGGAGATATAAAAAAGACCTGGAAAACACTTTCCCAGATTCTGGGGACCCACAAACTGAAAAAAAACAAGAATATTGTTCTAACTAAACCTCATGAAACACCACTGATAAACGACTTCTTCTCAAACATAGGATCTAATCTCGCCAGTAAAATCCCACGTGCCGGGGACTACCTAGATGGGAATTTCCCAAATTCCTTCTATCTTGTACCAACTGAGCCCACGGAAGCCACCGCAATCATAAAGTCACTTAAAAATAACTCGGGGAATCTGTCTCACGTCCCACTATTATTGTACAAGCGAGCGGCCCATGTCCTTTCGCATGCTATTACATTACTTTTTAGCAAGTCACTAGAAACTAGCATTTTCCCGACACTACTCAAGACAACAAGGGTTACACCAATACATAAAGGTGGTGACCCTACAGATGTAAACAACTATAGACCAATATCAAACTTACCATTGCTATCCAAAATCTTCGAGAAACTCGTGCACAGGACAGTATATTCATTTGTAAAGTCACAAAACATACTCAACCCCTGCCAATTTGGATTCAGGAAAAATAAAAGCACTAATAATGCAATTATAAAAATGCTAGACCTGCTTTCCACAGCATTTGGAAAATAAGGAATATCCGCTAGGAATTTTTATTGACCTAAGAAAAGCATTTGACACAGTAGACCACGGCATCTTACTCCACAAACTTGACCACTATGGTATAAGAGGCCATGCGCTTGCATATTTCAAATCCTACCTTTCTAATAGGTATCAGTATGTCACCATTAAAGACACAGCCTCATCAAACGGCCACTTGATACTGGAGTTCCACAGGGAAGTGTCCTTGGACCCCTGCTCTTCCTCATTTACATCAATGATCTTCCAAACATATCCCAACACCTGAAACCCATTCTCTTTGCTGACGACACGACTTATGTCTTTTGCCACTGTTAACGAGGAGCTGCTCAAAATATCGACTTGGATGACAGCCAATAAACTTACATTTAACACTGGCAAAACCTACTATATTATGTTTGGTAGCAGAGCAGGTGCTGCGCAACTTAACATTAAGATCGACAACACTCTAATTGCCAGACATAATGAGGGCAAATTCCTTGGCCTATACCTCGACAACAACCTAAATTTCAGCACCCATATCCAACACATAACAAAAAAAGTATCCAAAACGGTGGGGATCCTCTCCAAGATACGATACTACGTGCCGCAAACTGCTCTTCTCACACTATACCATTCACTTACATATCCATACCTCCCTTATGCTATCTGTGCTTGGGGTTCAACTGCAGCAACACACCTAAAGCCAATAATAACCCAACAAAGAGCCGCAGTAAGAATAATCACTAAATCCCATCCCTGGCAACACCTCCCCCCACTCTTCATACATCTAAACTTACTCCCTGTTCAGAACGTACAAACTATATCTACTGGACCTTAAATTCCAATATTAACCTTGACCTAAAACGCTTTCTTGATAGTTGTGACAGGATCCACAGGCATAACACCAGACACAAACATCTCTATGACATTCCCCGTGTTCGACTAAACCTTTACAAAAATTCAATGTATTTCAAAGGACCTAAAATCTGGAACACCCTACCTGAAAACTCTAGAACTGCACACATATTCATCACTTTCAAAACTACAGTTAGAAAACATGTTATCTCCCTGATCCACCCTGACAACTAACTACATGATAACCACCTGGTGGTTCACAATTACACTCACTCACCCACCCAGAAATACTAATCTTAATCTTAAAATAATAAATCCTAACTAGTCATAAGTTTCCCTATGATTCTCCAATATAGACACCTTGTATTGTGCCAAAACAAAAGCATTCAGATTGCTAAACTCACAAATTATGATGTAGTCACTTAGCCTTAATACCATAATCTGTAAGGATTTAATGTTAAGAATTAATCTAAGTCTGCTCAAAATGCCTAGCCATGCTAGGTGTCCTAGTGGCCCCCTCTGTAATTAGTATTTTATAACATGTAAACCACACAATACCCAAAACCTGTAAACCCCACATTGTAACCTTTATAGAGAATAAACTTGAATTGAATTGAATTGAAAACTTCAAGATTATTATACTTATAAACCTCCACCTTGACGACCTCGCATTAGTATGTATTAAGATTAAATAAGATTGTAACACAGTTAACCATTATTTCTTGTCTAGTTTTAAGTAGTTACTATGTACTATTTCTTGTCTAGTTTTAAGTAGTTACTATGTACTATTTCTTGTCTAGTTTTAAGTAGCTACTATATATTAGGATTAGCCTGCCTGAAATGCCCCAGCATGATGGTGGCTTTCTGTGTACTTAGCAAACCAAAATTGTAATTACACATTGTAACCTTTACACCGGGGTGGCCCCGGTGTGGCCTGGTGGCTAAAGCTCCCGCTTCACACACGGAGGGCCCGGGTTCGATTCCCGGCGGGTGAAAACATTTCGACATGTTTCCTTACACCTGTTGTCCTGTTCACCTAGCAGCAAATAGGTACCTGGGTGTTAGTCGACTGGTGTGGGTCGCATCCTGGGGGACAAGATTAAGGACCCCAATGGAAATAAGTTAGACAGTCCTTGATGACGCACTGATTTCTTGGGTTATCCTGGGTGGCTAACCCTCCGGGGTTAAAAATCCGAACGAAATCTTATCTTATCTTATCTTACAAAGAAATAAACCTTTCTTCTTCTTTCAACACACCGGCCGTATCCCACCGAGGCGGGGTGGCCCAAAAGGAAAAACGAAGTTTCTCCTTTTACATTTATTTAATATATACAGGAGAAGAGGTACTAGCCCTTGCTCCCGGCTTTTTAGTCGCCTCTTACAACACGCATGGCTTACGGAGGAAGGAATTCGTTCCACTTCCCATGGAGATAAGAGGAAATAAACAAGAATAAGAACTAGAAAGAAAATAGAAGAAAACCCAGAGGGGTGTGTATATATGTGCTTGTACATGTATGTGTAGTGGGACCTAAGTGTAAGTAGAAGTAGCAAGACGTACCTGAAAACTTGCATGTTCATGAGACAGAAAAAAGGACACCAGCAATCCTACCATCATGTAAAACAATTACAGGCTTTCGTTTTACACTCACTTGGCAGGACGGTAGTACCTCCCTGGGCGGTTGCTGTCTACCAACCTACTACCTAGGAAATAAACCTTTATCTTTATCTTTAATTTTATTCTACTGATCAGACTAGCCTTTCCCACAAATTCTTGCACTTTGCAGGCAACATGGTCAGTTAACAAACCAGGACAGCACAATGATGCAGTGACTGCGAATGCTTACATTTGTGCAAGTGGGACATATGAATGTGAGAGCAGAGAGGCCAGATGCACACCGTTTTTTTATTTTGTGACTGTGTCTTTGACTGCTACTACCAAAACCATTGCTCAAAACACAGGGAGGTGCATGACCCTTGTGGGTTTAGCACTTAGTTATGATTATAGCTAGACCTGCACACCACCTGAAATGACCTACTATATATGTATACCCCATGTTTTCAGTTCTCTGTATTGACTATATAGATGTAATCAAGTTTAAAGTGTATCTGAAAAAATAAATGAAATACTGTATTTTTTTTTCAACACACTGGCTGTATCCCACCAAGGCAGGGTGACCTAAAAAGAAAAATGAAAGTTTTTCTTTTAGGTCACATAAAAAGAAAAAAACAAAAGTTTTTCTTTTTAAATTTAGTAATTTATACTGAAGAAGGGGTTACTAGCAGCCCCTTGCTGAAATGCTGTATATGTACGATAAATGCACTATGTATAAACTCCTGGCTAAGATAGTTAAGCAAATAAAAAAATACATACATACCTGATAGGATACCAAGTACACTATACTGCCGTGGACATCCAAAATTTTTACTCACCTCCCAAGAGCTGGTTTCCAGTTAGATTCTGAATTGTGTCCTCTATTCTTCACGCTGTTAAAGTTTGCTTGTACAACATTATTGACCACCACCACTGCTGCTTGCTGCTCTGAGGCAAGACTTTTCAAAACTGCAGCCAATTCATTTATTATACCCCAACCTGTGTAAGAGAACACAAACATTATATATCTTTGCTGGCAACCAGTAACTCTCAAACATGTAAAGATTTAATACAGTCATATCCACTTTACATGAGGCTAAGATCTAAAATTTAGTTTTGGGGTAATGGCCCTTAATTATGATCATCAAATCAGTATATATGGATACTGTACTACAGAACATTTAGATCCACTGGCCAGAAACATGATTACAAAAAAGTATTGGATAGGCCCAGTCTCCATAGAACAACTACAAAGATATTCCACCACATTCACAAACTTGTTTAGAAATATCTACGGCACTACCCCAACAGATTTAACAAAATTTGGGGGAAGTCATAAAAAAAATGTCTGGAACACTCAAATCCTAGTGTCAAATGAACAAAATACCCAAATTTCAATTCTATAAAGAAAATGCACTACAACTTTCAGTTACCGATACTATAAATAAACGGTTTCTTCTCAGCCATAGGGTGAGACCAAGCAAACAATACTCCTCTTATATAGTGGTACCTCGAGTTATGAACTAAATTCATTTCAGAAGACTGTTCGAGTGCCGATACCAAACGAATTTGTTCCCATAAAGAATAATGTAAATTAGATTAGTTCGTTTCAGACCCCCAAAGATACACTTACATAATGGTGTCCATGGATTGCTGTTCAAAAAAAAAAAAAAAATTTGATAGGTGAAGCACAAGAATCACAATGCTCAGAAATTCTGAAATTTGATATACACTGGAACATACAATTTTAAGTAAGAAGAATATCTTTTGAAAAATTAGAGTAAAAACTATAATAAAAAGGTTAACACTACCGTAAACTACAAATGGCCCTTACCTTGTTTCTGGCGTCCTCCGAGGAGAGGCATGAGAATAGATGGCAGAGAATCCACTATGACTAACTTAGTTTTTCTTATTGTGCTCACTGGCCTGCTGTCACTAACATTCCATTGCTCTACATCTTTTTTTCTTACTGAAAAGTATGGCTGCCGAAGTAATTCCAATGCTTGAAATACACTCCATATATCAGACGGGATCACTGCCTCTATACGGGCAAGAGCTTGCTCCACTACCTAGAATACAGATCAATATTTTTTAATTAAAGGTATTAGTGTTTATTAAAGACCATTTTATAACACAGAAAACCTGTCATTTAATTGGCTAGTGGAAGAAAGAGGGTTGCCAGTAATGGTAATTCTTGTGGAGAAACATGAAACTGTTTTCCTGTGATCACAACAATAATGGACAATTCTGTAACAGATGTACATTTTGGCTGTTGTTTCCAAAAATTTTGCTGCATACAGTTTTTCCAAAGTCCATTAAATTGAGGGTTTATTGTACTACAAATGAGGAGAGGTAAATGTTTGGAAATTTTCTCATGAACAGATGTTTTAAAACTGTTTCCTTCAAGGAGGATGCCTTCATGCTGCTCAAGGGCTTTTGATCCAAAGATTTTCAGCTACTGTTTCCTTCCTCAGATCAAATCTGATTCTATTCCATTCCATTCCTCAGTCGCTGTACGACCTCTACTGGTAACTCTCCCCAATGAACATTCAGTAGTTTGTCAATTAGACTAGAGGAGTTATGTTCCTGAAAACTGGGATTTAATCTAATTTAACCCCTTGACTGTCGAAACCCCAAATCCTGAGGTGTCTCCTGGTTGTGAGACCTCTACCCACTCTACCTGAGGTATCCCAGCGAGTGAGCACGTCTCCTGTATATCCCAGTGCTTAACAGAATAGGGAATAGCATATGGAGGTACAAATAAAAATGGGAACTATGGCTATAGTTTACTTAATAACAAAAAAGGGCTAGAATACAACATATCCTGATGGAAATTTACACAATATAACAATTGACCTATGAGACTTATTACCAGGGGGAAGGGTAGATGTTATCAGTAACACGGACTAGTACTCACTCTTAATTCACTGACCAGCTGACCCGAGATTCCCAATGCATGGTCCACTACACACGCGACTGTCCAGAGCTCTCGCTCCCCGGACCTGTCACAACAACCTCTTTGCCCCGCTGTTCCCTGGGCTTATATCGTAGTCAAAGTACCCCCTCCCCAATGGTGTATGTACCACGTGTTACGACCTGACGCTGAGGTCTGACACCGTTAAGAACAAAAGACCTCAGACGTGGGCGTGACTACCCGACATTTGCTAAGGCAGGTGTGACCATATAATTAGGTCTCCCTAGAGACCTCACAAGCCCATCTGAACTGCATCACATCCCCCTTTCTCCCCCAATTTAAAATATCTGGGAACTAGGACAATTTGTCCTAAGTTATTAGACTATTTTAATCCTAACCCTTTTATTCTATTACAATACAATAGCAAATAATATGAATTCACACAGATCAGTAGGTTTAATAAATTCTAGCACAAGAAACGAATAACAATGACTCTGGTGCGAAACCTCTTTATCCGTCATGTCTCCTTAAAACTAAATATCGGGCTCCAGTGCCTTCCTGTACTCTACTAGAAATAAACTAGCTCCTGTAGTCACCCTCGCTAATTAACCATTGAGCCAAACCTCGTAAGGTTTTCCTGGCGTAGAAAACAGCTCCAGCGGGTATTATTCCTTCAAGTGCTTGCAACCGAACCATTACACGACCACAATGTCGCATTTTCCTTGCACCCTAAAAAAAAAAAATCTTATGAAATGATAGAGAATCTTTTCCTGATGGTAATGACACCAAAAGAATGAAATTTGATGGAAAACTTATGGAATTATGCTCTCACAAAGTTAACAACCTCGGCAATATTTATGGATCGGCGATTTTGCCCACTTTGAGCCCTATTTTCTGCTAATTCCATTGTTCCAGTCGATCAAACTCATAGCTATTTCTTTAGAACTCCATTTGTTCTATCGATTGAGTACAAGAAACTGCCCATTTACCGATTTCAACTACCCAATAACATGGTCAGAAATTTGCAATTTGGCCAATTTCACGCAAATTAAAAAATATGCCAATTTCAAAACAGAGTCCAAAATTAACAAAGCAGACATTCCTGGCTCTAAAATAACATTTTCTTTGTTCATGAGTCACGTCTCCAGTCCCCTCTGATATTACTCTTGCTTTCTATTTTGAATTTTTATTCAAACAAAAAATAAAAGATTTACTGTTATGCAGACTACTGCAATATTGTAATAATTGTATAAATAATGCCAACCCATTCATGATTGCATATTAGAATGACTAGTTGGACATTTACTGGACAATGACATCATTTGTTTACTTTTGAACATCGGCAAAAATCAAACATTTCCCCTACTTTGAGCTCCATTTCAATGTTCTTTTCATAGTAAAACCAATCAAAATCACTGCCATTTTTTCCATTCTATCAAATGAGACCAAGAAAACGAGAATACAACCATAAATACTATACGAAAATACACCACAAAGTCAGCATTTTAATCCAAAAAAACGGTTGGAGTTTTTTTTTTCTCATTATGCACTGCGTGCTGCAGGATTCTTTTTATATGGTGCACACAGACCCATTCTCTTACATGTGAGCCTACCTGCTTGATTTGAAGCCGCTAGAATTTTTGAGTACATGTATATATACATCAAACACGGTGGCTCGTAAGACATATATATACGACCAAAACAGTCAAAGGGTCAATACTAACCTGAAAAACAAAAAAAACTTTTTTTAAAATACAAAATGTAAAAAGATTTTTTTTTTCTTAACTTACATACTGCAGTTGTAGTTGCTGATGCCTGTTGACTTCCAAGTCAACAGGCATCAGCAACTACAACAGGTTGTTGACCTCCAAGTCAACAGCCATCTACCTTAGCCTTTCCGGGCTAAGGTGGATGGTTGTGGATCTAGTGTTGGTGGTGATGCAGTTATTAGTAGCTGATGGTTGTGGTCAAGTATTCTGTAATGGGTCCCTGTTTTTCCTTCCCAGTAATATTTTATACAGGTGATGATAAGGCACCATCACTACCACCTGCTCCAAACCCCATGTCACAGCAATGTTTCCACATATGTCAGTGTCTTTTTCAATGAAAAAGTCTGCCAAGCTAGCAATAACACGGAATTTCTCACTTAACTAATACAGTTTTAACTGAGAATCTTCTAGCTGTTCTTCAATATTCTGTTCTTATAGTTGTCTTTCTCCTAACTAGAAATTAAGGCCCTTTATTCTGTGGTTGGTTCTTCATTGTCATCTTCCATCAGTTCATTTACATCTTCACGTGACACAGTCCTTCCAGTGTTACAATTATCTTGACGTGCCTACTTACCAAGGGAATGTCAGAGAATTTATTCACCAGAGAAGGCCATGACTGCCCCAGTGTGTATTTATAGTTGACTGGAGTAATTCCTTCCATGCCAGTTTTAAACATGCAAGTGCATCTACAGTGTTTTAAAGTTACATCAGAACTCTGGGACTCCAATCTCACAGCTGTCATCCACTGTTGCAATGAGTTTTTCCATTACCCTGTTGATATAGTGGCACTTAAATGTCTTTATAACTCCTTAATCTAGTGATTACATCAGACATTGAATTAGGTGGCAAAAACTCAGCCTTAACATTTGCATTCATAGATTGCAACATTTGAGGTGGGGTAAATAACCATGGCACTCGCTGCCACGACTACACATCTCGATCTATCCTCTTCTGCTTTAAGGCATTCAATGCCAATTATTTTCCACTGCTTTCTTTGTTGCAAAATTTCTCAATCGTTCTAAGACAATCTTATCCAGTCTAAGTGTTTCCTAACTGACAATCTACTTTAATATTATCAAGCTCAGTCAATCTTTTTATATGCAGAACTAATGTACGTATAGAAAAAGACACATCAAGTCAGTTGCAGGGCTTCAATATTTCATTTGAAACAGAATGCATTTCATAATCTAAATAACATCAACAACAACAAAAAAAAAAATACAGGTTTCAAAATCAGTGTAACATTGTACAGATCTGAAATTTACTGTACTATATTATATGTCTGAAAATCAGAGTTGGAAATTGCTGTACTCTATCAGATAATTAAAGCCACTATATGTTATAACTACTATTGTATAAGTAACTTTTAATTTTTTACACACAGGCTGAGCTGTTACACCTCGGCTCATTTCAAATCCCTTCACTACTGAAGATGTACTATGGTACCACCCTATCTCTCAAAAGTGAAAAATAAGACAGTGATAAAAAAATAAATTGTGATTTACTGAAAATTTAGAATAATAGTAATATAAAGAGCTTTCTTTTAATACTGTGTAATAAGTTCCTCATTATATTCAAAGCAATCAATTCAAAGCCAAAAGTTTCTGGGTTCAAGTCTGAACAGGGAGAGATGTATAGATAACTTTTTACAAAGCACTCATTGCCCTTGTTCTAGCAGCAACTTGGCTCTTGAACTCCTGAATCGAATGTCATCCAATGTACAAAATAACACCTATAAACTTACTAGACTAACTAATTTTTTTTTCTTATAATCAAGTACAATGATATTCCCTTGTAGTCTTAAGTTACACTTAAGTTTGCTCAAAATGCTCTGCATAATCATGGCCTTTCAACATGCACCAAAATGTACCCTATTTCTGTATAAATAATGTACAGTTGTACCTCGAGTTATGAACTTAATTCATTCCAGAAGGCTGTTTGAGTGCCGTTACTGAATGAATTTGTTCCCATAAGGAATAATGTAAATTAGATTAGTCCATTTCAGATTCCCAAAAATACACTTACATAATTGCTCAAGTTGGGAGCTGTTCAAAATTTGTAGTACCACTGTATCCTGCTGAAGTAATCTTGTATTGTATTGTATAACTACTGTGGGTTGCATTCCAGGGATTGAATACTGTCATGTATAAATAATACTAGAACCAGACTTGGAAACAAGACAAAGTAATATAATAGCTCCCAGCCTGTAAAATATAGTAGCTCTTAGTACAAAAATATCTTAACTGGTAGCTAAAAATACAGAAAGCTTATCAGGTTTGATGTAACTAACATCTACACCTCCATTTTCAGGCTCCTTTATGATGGTACACTTACCTGCAAGTCTTCAGACAAGGCCTCTATCACAGGGGCAAGTCTCAGAGCATTAATGCTCGCCAAAGGGTCAATATAAAGGACATTCATTCTTAGCTTGAGTGCAGCATGAACAGCCAAGTTGACACAGAGGGAGGTCTTGCCAGTACCCCAGCCTCCACACACCTCCATCACCTCACCTGTCATCAGGCCGCCTCCTAGCAGGCTGTCCAGACTGAAAGGAGTGGAAGAGCTGTTGGCCTGACATTTTTTAAAATGGGAATTATCAAAAGTTTATACATGGATTCAGTGAATGTATGTATGTATACATATAAATAACACCCTCCAGATATGTATGTGAATGTGTATATGTATGTATGTAAATAAAAAAATTATATACATATTTTTTTTTAACACTGGTTGTCTCCCACCGAGGCAGGGTGACTTGAAAGAGAAATACTTACAGCAACATTCCCACTATCACTGTCTTGCCAAAGGCACACAACTATGACAGTTCAGAGGTCCCTCCAAACAGCAAATATCCCAAACCCCTCCTTTATAGAGTAGGAGCTGTACTTCCCACCTCCAGGATTTAAATCTGGCTAATGTGAATCCCTTCACAAAATATTGCCTTGCTTACCCTCCAACAACTCATAAGGTACCAAAAACCATTTGTCTCCACTCATTCCTAACACTCACACATGCCTACTGTATATCCAAGCTCCTTGTACACAAAACCTCCTTTACAATGGAGGCTATCTATATCCAATAATAAAAATTAAGATACAGTGGACCCCCGCTTAATGATCACCTCCCAATGCGACCAATTATGTAAGTGTATTTATGTAAGTGCGTTTGTACGTGTATGTTTGGGGGTCTGAAATGAACTAATCTACTTCACAATATTCCTTATGGGAACAAATTCGGTCAGTACTGGCACCTGAACATACTTCTGGAGTGAAAAAATATCGTTAACTGGGGGTCCACTGTACTTAAAATTTTTATTTTTAGCAACATACCAGAGAGAAAAATCAATCATAACCTGATTATATACATATGACAAACATTCACAAGATTCCTGAAAACTGAATGTCAAATCAACTTTCAAAAATGGAAAAAAATTCTTAATCAAGGCTTTTCAAAAACATTGAGGATTTATCAGTGTCATGGGAAAAATAGCAGGAAACAATATGTAATGATCACATACAGCTATGGTAACACAAGTTTTGTGGGAAAGCCTCAAGCTTCATGTGATCCTTACATATTGTTTTGTATCATTTCCCAACTGGCAAATCTTTAATCTTTTTTTATGCCTTTGTCGACTATTTTCAGGTTTTGGAGGGTGCTTTGATATACAGGAGTACCCCGAGTTTCTCCCAGCTCGAATAATTGTATTACTGTAATTGATTTTGTATTTTTGGGGGTCTGAAACGGACTAATCTAATTTACATTATTCCTTATGGGAACAAATTCGTTTGGTAACGGCACTCGAACAGCCTTCTGGAATGAATTATGTACGAAACTCGGGGGACCACTGTACAATATGTAATCTAGTGAGATTCTTTAGTACAATTCCTCTACTCGAGACTCACTAATACAGCCTCTCCTCACTTAGAGATGTACTTGTTTACCGACGACTCGGACTTACAATAAGCTCTCTAACCAGTATGGATACCTAAATAATGTATAATAGAGCTGATATCCTCTATTTTGTTTATTTCAATATACAGTACACTACTGTATAAACATTTAAAAATATACCAAAAATGTTATAAATGGTGCAAAGGTGACATAAAAACAATACCAAAGATGGTTGATACAAACTCAGAGGCGTCGTAAGGGGAGGGGGGCCGCCCCGGGTGACACCATAGAGTCTCTAAAGAAGGTAACACTAATGGCCAAAACCATACTGCAGTGACCTAAGAGAAAAATCCTTCATTTCTATATATAGCCTATTAGAGGATTACAGAGTACAAATAGGCCTATACAGTGGACCCCCGGTTCCCGATGCTATCGGTATCCGATAAATCCGGTAGCCGATGCATTTGATCGAAAAAAATTTGCCTCGCTTCCCGATACAAAACCCAGTATGCGATACGATGCGTACGAGATGTGTCCACGTGTGGCCTGAACTGCCCAGTGTGTGCCAGTGTTTACAAGCCAGCCAGTGTGTGCCAGTGTTTACAAGCCAGCCAGTGTGTGCGCATCTAAGGATACATTTGGTACATTCCATATTATCACTGTTTTTGGTGCTTGTTTCTGCAAAATAAGTCACCATGGGCCCCAAGAAAGCTTCTAGTGCCAACCCTGTGGTAAAAAGGGTGAGAATTGGTATGGAAATTAAGAAAGATTTTGAAGGGTTTGGGGCTAACCTTGAGAAGCCTATGCCAGTTGTGGAATCCTTTGTGCCTACTTCAAAAATTAAGGAAATGTGTGCAAAGTGGGTTGAACTGCAAACCTTTATGGATGAGAATCACCCTAATACAGCTATTGCAAGCCGTGCTGGTGACTATTACAATGACAATGTTGTGGCCCATTTTAGACAAATCTTAAAGGAACGGGAGGTACAGAGCTCTATGGACAGATTTGTTGTGCGACAGAGGTCCAGTGACTCTCAAGCTGGTCCTAGTGGCATTAAAAGAAAGGAAGTAACCCCGAAAAAGGACTTGCTACCTCAAGTCCTAATGGAAGGGGATTCCCCTTCTAAACACTAAGACCATCTTCACTCTCCCCTCCTCCCATCCCATCAATCATCACCAGATCTTCAATAAAGGTAAGTGTCATGTAACTGTGCATGTCTTCTTCAGTTTGTGTGTATTAAAATTAATATTTCATGTGGTAAAAAAAAAAAAAAATTTCATACTTTTGGGTGTTTTGCACGGATTAATTTGATTTCCATTATTTCTTATGGGGAAAATTGATTCGCTTTCCGATAATTTTGGTTTACGATGAGCTCTCAGGAACAGATTAATATCGTGAACCGGGGGTCCACTGTATAGGAAAAATCATTGATTCTGATGATGTGATAGATGATTTTGCAGGATTGAAGGCAAGGAAATAAAATATCAGATTATCTGAGATGTTACCTGTACTCAAGGTTAAATCCTTTATTTTTCAAGTTTTTTTTATTCATTGTTGAAGATGAATAAATGTAGGATCTGTTGCCTATACTCAAAGTGGTATTTAAGTTTATGCTTCTTTAATATTACAACGATTATTTATTTTATCATTAATAAAGTTCTGTTTATGTCCTTTAAATGTTCTCATTGTTAAACATTAGTCACTGGGTATGCAGCAGTGACGTAACTGGAGTTCACTACCCCTATCCCCCTGCCCTTGGATTTCATGGGGGTGACACCAAAGATTCCACCCTGGGTGACACCAACCCTAGCAATGCCTCTGTACAAACTCACTACCATTATAGTATGCTCCTCACATATCGACGAATTCATTTAACCCTTAAACTGTCCAAACGTAGATCTACTTTTTTCAACATTTGAAAGTATGTAACAAAAGTAGATCTTTTTTTTTTTTTTAAATTTAAAAACGTGTGAAGAATTTTGATCTACTTTTTTTTGTTATATTTGAAAATATGTAAAAAAACGTAGATCTACTTTTGGAGCACTACGCATGTGAACATAGATCTGCTTGGACAGTTTAAGGGTTAATGATGTGGTCTCAGGAATGGAACTCTGTCATTAAGTAAGGAGAGGCTGTACTACAAAACAAAGGAATAATACACAAATAACCAGCACATAGGAGAGTAAAGCTTATAATGACATTTTAGTCTGACTTGCACCATTAACTAGCTACACAAGTCCCTGCTTTACAGTGTTTCGCTAATACTGTACAGGCGTTTTCAATTATACCCATTCATTTAGTCAGACCTCCTACAATAAATATATATTCACCACTCACTATAAGCTAAGGACGAAAATATTTTAAGTTATGTAGTGTGTGTACCGTATATGCATTTTTAAGGCCTAGCTATATTGCTCACTTAATATATGATAGTATAAACATGTTATCAGGTTTTTATAATGCATATGAAAGTGAAAAAATGCTATGATTCACTTTACAGCAATTTTTGCTTTATAGCAGTAGCCTGGAACCTAACCTGCTGTATAAGCGGGGCCCTCCTGTACTGTATTTGTGCCTTTTTATTCTTTATAAATATCTAACTTTTTTTTGTCATTCACGAAATTACTGTTATTACTTACTTTGTGTTACCAGTAGATATAACTACAGCAGTCTGTACCACTTCACTCAGCATGCAGTCTCCAGAAACCGCAAAGGCAGCATAATGAGCATGAATTATACGGCGGATGCTTTGCAAGTCCTGCAATTAAAGATAAAGACGCTTATTTCAACAGAATATATTGAAGTTACACTAAATGGTTTGTTACAATTTTAGGCAAACTTTGTACATATTACATATTCTAAGAAAAGCCCAGTGTTTACGTAAAGCATTTCGGGCAGACTAACTTAGACCTCAAAAAATTATTTATCTGTAGCTCTAGTATACACACTTAGGCTGTGTGTAACAGCTCAGGATAGCCAATCATAAAACAGATGGGGTCTGAACCCATGGCGGGCGAGTCCTACAACTCACAGTTAGTTAGTTTAATACCTCTATTATGTACCCCATCCCTATCCTGTGAACAGAAAAGATTACAGAGATACATAATGGGTCCTGGGACCGGGCTGTAAAGTTTTGATATCTAAACAAGTTACAGTGGTAATGAACTATTTATATATGGTTACAATCATAGAGAGTTATTTATGCAGACATGAATTAGGGCACAAAAAGAAAAAAACTCACATCACTCCCTTGTGTAAACTGACAGACCCCCTAATGGGTATAAAGTCACATTATTTGAATTCATTGCTTTATTCCAGGTTAATAGGTTAAATTAACACATTAAAATAGTGCAACTCTTATGTGTCCATAACAAATGTTATGGGTACATAAGAAATTTGCATGTTATATTTGTGCCCAGAGCATAAATCAAACTTATCAGTATAAACACAAATCTTTATTTCATAATTACTGTACAAAACATACAATAATTATAATCTGTAGGCCAACAGGATGCATAGCTTTTCGGGCAAAACTTAGTGTATTCTGCCTGGAGGTCATTCCAGGGGTCAATGCCCCTGCAGCCCATCCAATACCAAGCCTCACGGTGGATCAGGGCCTGATCAACCAGGCTGTTGCTTAAGAACACACGTAATCAATGTACAATCCACATCCCAGCTGGTACTTTAAATTTGTGCAGTATTGCATTTTCATTTGTTAAGAGTCTAATGTATGGTTTTAATAGAAACTTAAAAATAGATACAAGTTTCAAGTTACTTCATAAAATGACAGGATAAGAAAGATTATATACAGTGGACCCCCGGTATTTGATGGAATCGGTATACGTTAAATCCGGTATTCGATACATTTTAACGCAAAAATTTTGCCTCTCCACTCGTTAAAAAACCCACCACACGCGAGTCGTCCGGGACGTGTCCACGTGTGGCCTGAACTGCCCCGTGCGTGCCAGTGTGCTCGCATCTAAGCATACATTCAGTACATTCCATATTATCACAGTGTTTTTGGTGCTTGTTTCTGCAAAATAAGTCACCATGAGCCCCAAGAAAGCTCCTAGTGCCAACCCTTCGAGAAAAAGGGTGCTAATGACTATTGAAATGAAGAAAGAGATAATTGCAAAGTACGAAAGTGGAGTGCGTGTGTCGGAGCTGGCCAGGTTGTATACAAAACCCCAATCAACCATCGCTACTATAGTGGCCAGGAAAACGGCAATCAAGGAAGCTGTTGTTGCAAAAGGTGAAACTCTGTTTTCGAAACAGAGACCGCAAATGTTAGAAGATGCTGAGAGACTGTTATTGGTGTGGATAAATGAAAAACAGATAGCAGGAGATAGCATCTCTCAAGCGATCATTTGTGAAAAGGCTAGGAAGTTGCATGAGGATTTAATTGAAAAAATGCCTGCAACTAGTGGTGATGTGAGTGAATTTAAGGCCAGCAAAGGTTGGTTTGAAAGATTTAAGAATCGTAGTGGCATACAGAGTGTGATTAGGCATGGTGAGGCTGCCAGTTGGGAAACCAAAAAGCAGCGAAAAATATGTGAAGGGAATTCAAGGTTACATACACAGTGAAGAATTTAAACCTGAACAAGTGTTTAATTGCAACAAAACAGGCCTGTTTTGGAAGAAATTGCCAAGCAGGACCTACATTACTCAGGGGGAAAGGCACTCCCAGGACATAAGCTATGAAAGACGGGGCTTACTCTTCTGATGTGTGCCAATGCTAATGGTGATTGCAAAGTGAAGCCTTTATTGGTGTATCACTCAGAAACTCCCAGAGCGTTCGGGCAAAAGAATGTCCTCAAGGCTAATTGTGTGTGCTGTGGAGGGCAAACAGTAAGGCATGGGTCACTAGGGACTTTTTCTATGACTGGTTACACCATGCATTTGACCCCAATGTGAAAAATTACCTAATTGAAAAGAAATTATACCTTAAGTGCCTCCTGGTATTAGACAATGCCCCTGGTCATCCTATAGACTTGGCAGAGCGACTTTCTGGGGACATGAGCTTCATTAAGGTCAAGTTTTTGCCTCCTAATACCACTCCTCTCCTGCAGTCCATGGACCAGCAGGTCATTTCCAACTTCAAGAAACTGTACACAAAAGCTATGTTTCAAAAGTGCTTTGAAGTGACCACAGATACTCGATTGACTCTAAAAGAGTTTTGGAAGGATCACTTTAACCCTTAAATGGTCCAAATGTATATATGTACGTTTTTTCAACATCTGAAAGTATGTAAAAAAATGTAGATCTTCTTTTTTGTTTTACATTTGAAAACGTGTAAAAAACTTCTATTTACATTTTTTTTTTTATATTTGAAAATATGTAAAAAAAACAGTAGATCTACTTTTGTAGCACTACGAATTTGAACGTCGATCTGTTTGGACCGTTTAAGGGTTAATATCCTCAATTGTGTAAACCTTATAGGTAAGGCTTGGGAGGAAGTGACTAAGAGGACCTTGAACTCTGCTTGGAAGAAACTGTGGCCAGAATGTGTAGACAAAAGGGATTTTGAAGGGTTTGAGGCTAACCCTGGGAATCGTATGCCAGTTGAGGAAACCACTGTGGCATTGGAGAAGTCTTTCGGGTTGGAGGTTAGTGGGGAGGATGTGGAAGAGTTGGTGGAGGAGGACAATGACGAGCTAACCACTGATGAGCTGCTAGATCATCTTCAACAGCAAGACGCCAGACCTGAGAAACTGCTTCGGAGGAGGGGATAGAGAAATTGAGGAAGTTACCTACTTCACAGATTAAAGAAATGTGTACAATGTGGACAAAGGTGAAAATCTTTATGGGTGACAATCACCCTCACACAGCTATTGCAAGCCATGCTGGTGACTATTACAATGACAATGTTGTGAACCACTTTAGAAAAGTCATAAAGGAACGAGAGGTACAGGCCTCTATGGACAGATATGTTGTGCGACAGAAGTCCAGTGACTCTCAAGCTGCTCCTAGTGGCATTAAAAAAGAAGGGAAGTAACCCCGGAAAAGGACTTGCTACCTCAAGTCCTAATGGAAGGGGATCCCCCTTCTAAACAATAAGTTCGACACTCTCCCCTCCTCCCATCCCATCAATCATCACCAGATCTTCATTAAAGGTTAAGTGTTATGTATTCTATTGTTAGTAGAGTACTAAAAACTGTGCATGTCTTCTTCAGTTTGTGTGCATTAAACTTAATATTTCATGTGGTAAAAATTTTTTTTCATACTTTTGGGTGTCTTGCACGGATTAATTTGATTTCCATTATTTCTTATAGGGAAAATTAATTCGCCTTCCGATAATTTTTGCATACGATGAGCTCTCAGGAACGGATTAATATCGAATACCGGGGGTCCACTGTAGTCCTAATATAATACAATGAAACACAAATTAGTAATAATAGTAGAATTACAGACAAAATGTTAGTTAATGGAGACAGATGCAACTAATATGACATTTTGTTAGGTAAAAGCACACAAGTGCAACTAATGTGACGTTTCGCTCTTGAGGAGCTTTATCAAGCCGTTACAGTTGATAAAGCTCCTGGAGAGCAAAACGTTGCCAAAATAAAATATCACATTAGTTGTATCTGTGCCCTTTTATGAAACACAAGCTCCCAGAAAATGAGACGTAAAAACAGAGCTAACACCATGGAAATTATCAGTGTCTTGTGTCTGCAAGAAATGAGCAAAAACGTTTCCATGAACTAATCTTCTTGGACTTCCTGCTAATTTCTCCAACATTGCAAGCTCCTGACGATGTGTTGATTGAACACGAAAGGCCTTGAGCTATCATTCAACATGATAGTGCCTTCCTTTGTACTTAAATCATAATTGTAATTGCACATTGTAACTTCTGCATAGAAACAAAATCTTTATCTTTTTTTTTTTGGGTAAATTAAATTACCCCAGAAAAAAAAAACAAAAATGTTAATCAAAGTGACTTATTTCCATCATGGTTGACTCTTCCTCACCTTGTAACTCACTGAAGACTCCGTTGCCAATGCCTCTACATCTTTCAACAAAAAGTCCGTGATATTTCTAATACCAGATTTATGTAATTTGGACAAAACTTCCTCAGTGAGCGCCGGACATAACCCAGCAGTCAACCTCATTGTTCCTGTTTTTGGGGGTTAAAGAGGTTTTAAAGGCTCCCGGGGGCCGAAATAAAACCCAGGTGGGGGGTTAAAAGATTACGAGGTCAGGTTGGGGGACTGATTACCTCATTCTCCTCCTGGCTTCAAGATTCCCTTTGTAGGACTGAGAAGCCACTTGTGGCAAAACTTTTTCCTCAAAAAAGATGCCCAAGATTGCACACGGTCAAATTTATCCATGTCGGGGTTTCTGAACCATTCATCTACAAACTGTCAGAAATGCAGCTTCTTGGGATTTTAATACTTGTAAAGAAAGGGGAACAAGTGCAACTAATGTGAATTTATTGTGGCAACGTTTCGCCCCAGGAGTTTTATAAAGCCATTACAAAAAATGAACTTTTAAAATGGTATAAAATACCGACAGGTTGTTAGGAAAGCACATATGCAACGTTGGTACTTTATTCGAAACGTTTCGCCTCACAGTAGGCTTTTTCGTCGAGACAGAAAATTTGAAAAAGCAAAGATACTTGAGACGATGTAACAGTCCGCCCCCCTTAAATTTTAGGTGGCAGTCCCCAGTCGGGGAAAAGATATTGTTCCTGGTATGAAAAAATTGTTCAACCATGGAACAATGCCCTCCAACTGGGGGAATGACCCCCCAAAATTTTTTTAAAGGGGTGACGACTGATACATCGCTTCAAGTTTTTTTTGCTTCATCAATTTTTCTGTACTCGACTGAAGAAGAACGTGTAGGGGAAACGTTTCGAAATAAAAAACCTAATGTTGCATATGTGTTTACCATTACAAACCAATACATGACACCCTTAAAAACTTGGGAATTCTTCGCTTGCCTAATTCTTGGGCACGACCAATTCCCATGAAAAAAGTACACCACCTATGACTGTCACCTCCCCACCAACGGTTTTATAAGCTCCTTCTCCGCACGTATGCCGTATTTTATTCAAGATTGATGGCTGGCCACATTTACCAAGGTTTGAGGGGCTGATTTCCCTTCCCCCTCCTGTTCTTAAGATTCTCCCTTTGTATGGACTGATGAAGCCCCTGTGTGGCGAAAAGTTTTTTCCCCAAAAAGATACCCAAGGGGTTGTTAGGTAAGACAATAGCAACGTTAGGTATCTTTATTTTAAACGTTTCGCCCACACAGTAGGGTTTTTTAGTCAAGTAAAAAGAAAAGTTATAGAACAGAAGTACTTGAAGACGGTAATCAGGCCATCACCCTTTAAAATTTTGAGGTGGTCATCCCCCGTTGGAGAAGACTTGTTCCAAGTATGAAAAATAGGGGGACGAAGGACAGGATGGGCTTTTTTTTAGCGCCCCAAGAGGGAGACGTAGGCCCCTAGGAGAGGTAAGAAATCAGATTGTTGAAAGCAGGGCCCCCTCAAATCCAGCCCCTCCACTAGTGGAAGTTTCGAAGTTGATTTCAGGTCGTACCCAAAATACCCTTGTGTTGCGGCGACAGATTAACATTAAAAGGTATAAAATAGACAGGTTGTTAGGTAAGCACAATTTCAACATTTGGGATCTTTTTTATGAAACGTTTCGCCTACACAGTAGGCTTCTTCATAAGTACAAAAAAGTTGATAGAAGCAAAAGATACTTGAAGCGTTTAAATCAGTATCCCCCTTTAAAAGTTTTGAGGGGGTCAGTCCCTCAGTGGAAAAGGCATTTTTCCCATGTATGAAACAATATGGAGGAAGTGACGGGGATGGGCTTTTTATGCCCAAGGGGTGAGATAGGCCACTGGAAGTAAAAAACTCAGATGTTGAGAAGTCAGCACAAGCTATTCTCAACAAACCGCCCATGGAACAGCCCCCTAAGCAGTTCATAGTACTCTCATGTGGTGATGTTGCCACGAATACTCGCAGGGCACTTGCTATGAGTAACATCAACGTTTCCACCATAAACACATCATCTATCAAAGACCTCACTACGAAACGCAGCCCCACACCTCTAACTTCAACAGCAGGCGTCTACACTATCCCCTGTGGGTTCTGTCCCAAGAAATATGTAGGCGAGACAGGCAGAGATCTTGCAGTCCCAGGACCGAAACGTTTTCTAATATGACTCAAGAAATCGTAATGTCATAGTGTTTGCTTACGTGTCTTTCTAAACCAACTTATCGGTATTTGGTAGGTAAGACACATAGGCAACAGTTAGGCAACCTCAAATTCTACGACTTTAAGGGTGATGGACTGATTACATCGTCTTCTCTACTGTTCCTGCTTACTTTCTGTATTCGACTGAAGAAGCCTACTGTGTAGGCGAAACGTTTCGTAATAAAGTTGCCTAACTGTTGCCTATGTGTCTTACCTACCAACCTGTCGGTATTGTATACCATTTTGATGTAAATCTTGTCAGACACTGCAACACATGGCATCTTGATACAGAAAACACCTTGGACAACCTTTTCAAGTGAGAATTGTTGGATCTGAGAGGGACCTGACCTTTCAGTGGCTACATTCTCACTACTACTACTACTCTGCACCTCTCCTTCCGACAGTATTTAAGTCTCCGCACTGTCGCTTGATCTTCAGATAGTTCCTGACTATGGAACGAACTTCTCCAGGCCGAGGGACTTACAACCTCAAATTCTACGACTTTAAGGGTGATGGACTGATTACATCGTTTCTTTTACTGTTCTGCTTACTTTCTGTATTCGACTGAAGAAGCCTACTGTGTAGGCGAAACGTTTCGTAATAAAGTTGCCTAACTGTTGCCTATGTGTCTTACCTACCAACCTGTCGGTATTGTATACCATTTGATTGTAAATCTTGTCAGACACTGCAACACATGGCATCTTGATACAGAAAACACCTTGGACAACCTTTTCAAGTGAGAATTGTTGGATCTGAGAGGGACCTGACCTTTCAGTGGCTACATTCTCACTACTACTACTACTCTGCACCTCTCCTTCCGACAGTATTTAAGTCTCCGCACTGTCGCTTGATCTTCAGATAGTTCCTGACTATGGAACTGAACTTCTCCAGGCCGAGGGACTTACAACCTCAAATTCTACGACTTTAAGGGTGATGGACTGATTACATCGTCTTCTCTACTGTTCCTGCTTACTTTCTGTATTCGACTGAAGAAGCCTACTGTGTAGGCGAAACGTTTCGTAATAAAGTTGCCTAACTGTTGCCTATGTGTCTTACCTACCAACCTGTCGGTATTGTATACCATTTTGATGTAAATCTTGTCAGACACTGCAACACATGGCATCTTGATACAGAAAACACCTTGGACAACCTTTTCAAGTGAGAATTGTTGGATCTGAGAGGGACCTGACCTTTCAGTGGCTACATTCTCACTACTACTACTACTCTGCACCTCTCCTTCCGACAGTATTTAAGTCTCCGCACTGTCGCTTGATCTTCAGATAGTTCCTGACTATGGAACTGAACTTCTCCAGGCCGAGGGACTTACAACCTCAAATTCTACGACTTTAAGGGTGATGGACTGATTACATCGTCTTCTCTACTGTTCCTGCTTACTTTCTGTATTCGACTGAAGAAGCCTACTGTGTAGGCGAAACGTTTCGTAATAAAGTTGCCTAACTGTTGCCTATGTGTCTTACCTACCAACCTGTCGGTATTGTATACCATTTTGATGTAAATCTTATCGGTATTTATTACCACGGTTTATACCATTTTATACCATTTATTTCCACTTTGATAATTCTATTTAGTCAGGTGCAAGTCCCAGTCAAATTCAACCCCTCTCACTCGTGCATTTATCCAGCCTAAATTTGAAACTACACAAGGTTTTAGCTTCGATAACCCTACTAGGCAGACCGTTCCACTCATAAACTACGCTATTACCAAACATAAGAACATAAGAATGGAGGAACACTGCAGAAGGTATACACAAATACAGTTACATAGATTATCATACATAACAGCATATGTGTAGAGAATCTAGGATAACCGAAAAAAGTCAGACAGAGTGACTTATTTTCATTGGGGTCCTTCCTTATTTCAATTGGAGGAATGAACTCAAAGTTGTTGGGTTAAAAGTTGTCAAGACTCATAGGGCTAAATGAACCCCAAGTTGTTCTGCTATTTGTGAATTAAAAAGATTATGAAGCCCACATAACCTAACGAATCGGAAGTTGTCGAGTTGAGAGGACCCCAATGGAAATAAGTCACTCTGTCTGACTTTTTTGGGGGGTTATCCTAGGTTCTCTACACATATGCTGCTATGTATGAAAATTTATGTAACTATATTTGTGTATACCTAAATAAACTTAATTAATCAAGGCTACGGTGGCCCGGTGGCCTGGTGGCTAAAGCTCCCGCTTCACACACGGAGGTCCCGGGTTCGATTCCCGGCGGGTGGAAACATTTCGACACGTTTCCTTACACGTAACTGTTGTCCTGTTCACCTAGCAGCAAATAGGTACCTGGGTGTTAGTCGACTGGTGTGGGTCGCATCCTGGGGAACAAGATTAAGGACCCCAATGGAAATAAGTTAGACAGTCCTCGATGACGCACTGACTTTCTTGGGTTATCCTGGGTGGCTAACCCTCCGGGGTTAAAAATCCGAACGAAATCTTATCTTATCTTACCATGACCGAATGAACCGGAGGATGTTGAGTTAAAAGATTATAGAGGCCTCAGGGCCGAATGAACCCGAAGGAATCGGCGGTGTCTCCAGCATCGACGACGCTCGACAACGAGACAATTGGTTGATTGATTAATGGAATTTAAGACCTATACACTGTATTCATTAAGTCCATCTTTCCGTTTATTCCTTAACAGTCATTACGACTTAAATCGAGTTCATATGGAATTAAGGTTAATTGGGTTTAATGACTACTAGTTTAATCGATAGGATTTAAGGCTATACGTAATCTCTTCACATCTAGAAAGAATTCCTCAATCCCTAAAAAAGGGGTTAAGTTTTCGGCACATATGCATATAGTGAAATACACCTCATTATAAAAAGCAGGACCAAGGCTGCGACAAACACCATTTGGAATTTCTTAAAGGTTATTCTGACAATAGATGAAGAAACATCC